GTGTTAATCCATATCTGCCAAGTGACCCGATGTAGGGGGACCAGTCCCTATTCTGCTCTGTGTCAGTGTGTATCAGGGAACCTTAGGACAGGTGTCAATCCATATCTGCCAAGTGACCCGATGTAGGGGGAACAGTCCCTATTCTGCTCTGTGTCAGTGTGTATCAGGGATCCTTAGGACAGGTGTCAATCCATGGAAGCATAATACAACCTTTCAATCCATATCAGGTGTTAGTCCCCTTGAAACAACTTTTCCATCCCTATTGTGGCCAGAAAGAGTCCCTGTGTGTTTTAAAATTCACCTCCCCATTGAAGTCAATGGCGTTTCGGGCGGTTCGCCGGTTCGCGAACATTTGCGGAAGTTCGCGTTCGCCGTTCGCGAACCGAAAATTTCGGGTTCGCGACATCACTAGTGACTACCAATAAGGTCAAGAAAAGCTTAAATAGGACTCTGAGGTGGGTAAGTAAGAGAACTTGTGTGAGTCTGTCAGCAATCCTTTTGAGGGATATGTATATCCCAAAACAATATTAGGAGCAGACTGAGTGTGTCTGAGGCCTATACGCAGACTGGGCTTTATTCACCAACAACCTACGTTCTACAACACATGCCCAGCTGCTCTCAACAGTTTCTCCAGACAGCCATCATTCATTATCAATGAGTCTCAGTAAGTGAGTCTGCGCAATGGATGGTAGAAGAAATTGCAGTAGTCTAATAGTTTGTTTTAACATCCTTAAAGGAAATTTGCCCAGTTTTCTACAGGCAATAAAAATTTTCTTTTCAGTTTTCTTATTCCAACAGTTATCTGGTAGGGAGCTGTCTCATTAGTGGCCTGAATAGCAATTCTATTAGTAAGAAATATAACAACCATATTATGAGAGGCTTAACACAGCATAGTCATATAGTGTGACAAAAATGCATATAATTATATGCATATAATTTCCTGAAAGATTTGACAAAGATTGTGTGTGTGTAATGTTATCTATTTGTGCATCGCATACCAAATTAAATAATGTATGCAGCACTGCTATTACGAAATGCATGATCTGAGTGTACAACCGAAAACATTTTTATTGATGCACTGCATATCAGAATTGCAATTAAGAAGAAAATTCTGCAATTTTCTCCAAATGTTGCAAATCTGGAAGTCCGTGAATAATCCTGACTGTTGAATAAAAAAAAAACCTAAGTATATCTTAGGAAGTGCACAAATGAAGAACATTGCCATTAGATATATGTGTGTGTAACTGTCTATCCCTAGCCACTAGGTGTAATGTAAAATTAAGTGTTAGAATGGCTTTGACTTAATATTTTTATCTTGTACATTCTTTGGATATCATATATTGTTTTAGAACGAAGAGCACCATTTCATTTCATAACTTTAATTACACAAATTCCTTTAAAATAAAAAGACATTGTTCCATATATTTCATCAGGATTCACACATTTAGATGTATCGGTGACATCCAGCGGTGTGGTGTTTAAACTCCATTCTAATTAATAAAACAACACCAAATAACTTTGGGAAGTTAATTTATTTTGTGCAGCATATTTCCAATAAACAAGTGTGAACTTCAAGCCTGGGAGGTGCAATAACTATAATCGGCCACTAGATGGAAGCATAATACAACCTTTCCATCCCTCTTGCTCTACAGACTGCCTGACTACTTTAAATGCATAATTTGAGTATCTATTAAAATATGGTATCGTCAGTGCCTTGCCGTTATACACAAAGCAGGCAACTGCATTATGTCTCGGCAGCAGAGCTCATTGCGCGGCCATTATTATGAAGACCAAGTCTCCCTCTATTCAGGAGGCTTCGATAAAATGGCTCCTTTAATGGGACAAGTTTACGTATCGGGCGCCATTTTGGTGGAGCCATACCAAAGAAAATGTCACCATAGAGTTTTAACATCTTCTTTGATTTTCAAGGTTTTTTTGTTTTTGTTTTTAAATCTAACGTTCCCAAAACGTCAGAAAACCAAACGCGCGGTATTATACTGTAGGTATAACGGCGGACAAGCTGACGGTCTACCATGACAGTATGCTCGTCTCTATGGTACTTCCGGTCGGCGAGAAACTTCCGGTTGGTTGTCAGGGTAACGGTTGTGTGGGGGAAATGCCTGAGTGCAGGGCTGTCGAAGTTTGTAAAGTGTATTTATACAGTGTGGCAGCTTGCTGGAGAGACAGTCACTGTGTGAAATGATGGCTGAGCTAAAAGAAGCCAGTAAGTAGCTGTGAATGGCATGGCTATAGTAATACAGGATTACATGGGATGTGTACAGTGTCAGTGTCAGTATTGAACATGGTGCATGAGAACAAGGAAAACAATATGACATTCAGGGAGGAGATTTATTAAAGTGGTAAAAGCTGACACCAAGTCACCAAATGTAATGTGAATTCTAACACCATTGGCTAACATGGGGATTGCTCAATGCTAGGATTTTACATCACCTTTCAAAATATCTTCAACTTCAAATTATAGCAAATTAATAATAATAATATTTATATATATATAAATTCAAAGCCAATATGTGACTGTAGTTGAGTAGGCAAATGTTTCCACGTTGTTTTTGTTATTTGGATTTCAGTTTGTGATAATTCACTGTCCACAGATTGAAGTGGTGATGGTGCCTGGAGTCTGCTGGTGCTGGGACCTGCCTCACAACTAATTGGCTTACTCACTGTTCAGTAGAGATTTTCAGTCCTCGTCAGCCTGAAGCCCAGTTTCTGATAACAATATGGCAGAGACGGAGCTCTGCTATGCTTCACACCAAATCAGGGGTAATAGTCAGTGATTGGCTGAGAGTGTCGGCTGAGAGTTCTCGACTAATCACAGCCCCAGTCCAAATTATGAAAGGATATGGAGTGAAGTGGAAATATAGCTCCAACTCCGGCATCGCTATTGGAGGCCAAGCTTCAGGCTGCTAGTGAATGTCTCTACCTGGCACCTGCATATTCCATTGAGTTAATGTTAGTGAGTAATTTTCTGCAAGTTACTTATTACACTCAACTTTAAATAAACTGTTCTTACGTTGCTTCCAAGTGAGAACTTAATAAACTCCACTGGATTTAAACAGTTGTTTACATGACAGAGGGGAACAGAGGAAAGCAGTGCCTTAAAAGTATCCTCAAAATCCAATCAGAAAAATTCAATTTTAAAAGAGAGGACAAAAACGAAATATAGTGTAGTATTTAAAAGTTCTTGAGATAAATTAAAGGAACAGCACCTACACTTTTATTGGAGCTATTAGTTCCAAATTTATGTTCTCAGGCGCTATAATCCCCACCTGTGGATCTGTGGAATATCTTGATCTTGCGTGTGGGAGTATTTATGGTTGTCAGTTGTTTTGATGTTCAATAGAACACTTTGAGAAAGACTGTAATTTTTGGCAAAATGCATTGATGTTTATTTCTTTTATGGTTTTAATCTCTATTTTCAATAAATTTAGTTATTTTAACCATATTTGGACCTGCCTGATTTTGTAGCGGAGAGCTGATTTCCCACAGCTAAACTCCACCAAGTACTTTAAGAGGATGCAGGAACAAGTAATAAATCCAATAGAATATCCAGCACAATCAGCAATACAATCCAATAATATCCCATCACTTTACCTTAGAGAGGGTTCAGAGAAGGGCTACTAAACTGGTTCATGGATTGCGGGATAAAACTTACCAGGAAAGGTTAAAGGATCTTAACATGTATAGCTTGGAGGAAAGACGAGACAGGGGGGATATGATAGAAACATTTAAATATATAAAGGGTATCAACACAGTAAAGGAGGAGACTATATTTAAAAGAAGAAAAACTACCACAACAAGAGGACATAGTCTTAAATTAGAGGGACAAAGGTTTAAAAATAATATCAGGAAGTATTACTTTACTGAGAGGGTAGTGGATGCATGGAATAGCCTTCCAGCTGAAGTGGTAGAGGTTAACACAGTAAAGGAGTTTAAGCATGCGTGGGATAGGCATAAGGCTATCCTAACTATAAGATAAGGCCAGGGACTAATAAAAGTATTTAGAAAATTGGGCAGACTAGATGGGCCGAATGGTTCTTATCTGCCGTCACATTCTATGTTTCTGTGTTTCCCCAATCACTGGACGACACACAGTATTAGGAGTAGAACTGAACTTTTAAACACACAACCTTCTTTTAAAGCATTCTCCCATGCAAGGGAGGGATTTACAGTAATACACGAATTGCCACCCACACATCCCCTCCCCTTAGTGTGACACATAATCCCATTATGCAGGACACAGTTCCCCTGGATTTCTGGATGTACCCCTAAACCTAGGAGTACCCATTTAAATATTACATCCCCTGGTAGCCCTGATCTGGGTGAGACACATATCCAAAAATCACCCAGATCAGATCAGGGGTTCAGGAGTTATGGGGGTTTAAAGTTTTGTGGAGGTCCCTTTAGGCCCACTGAAGCATGGCTTTCCAGCCCAAACCAGGGCAACGTACCTCGGACGGAGGATGCCGGTGAGCGTGGAAAGGATGCGCCCGTGGCTCGACCGGTATCCTAGGCGTCGAGACTCGCAAGTCTTATTGGATGGGTTCTCGGTTGGGTTTTGGATCCCCTTTGTGCCTTCATCCTCACCGACCTTTGCCGGTAATTTGCGGTCGGTGGTGTGGAAAGAAACCATTTTGGGGGACAAGCTTGAGAAGAAGGTTCGTCTGGGTCGTATGGCGGGCCCCTTTGATGGCCTTCCTTTTCCCAATTTGCAGGTCTCTCCACTGGGCTTGGTTCCCAAAAAGGAGCCGGACGCTTTTCACCTCATTCACTACCTGTCATATCCCTCGGGCGGGTCGGTGAATGACGGGATTGATAAGGAGGTGTCTAGGGTCAGGTATGCCTCCTTCCAACTAGTCTGGCAGTGTGCCTGGGACAACACCCTGCTGGAGAACAGTGGGACAGGAAACGGGGGAGGGGTACACCTTCCTATACACAATCTATACACAGTCTAATAGAAGTCCATACACTGTTACTTAGAGTTTTGTGTACTCCAGGCACAGGAAAATCTCTGCAGGGCCAACAATCAATAAAAGGGAATGGGACAGCTACAGATTTTTTTCAGAAGATACTGACTTCATATTCCTTGGTGGGGAACATACCACCTAAGCAATAACGATAGAGCAAAACCCATTTTTTTGCTCTCCACTAGTGAGTATATCTCCTTTTATCACCTATATTTATCTTGCTACAGAGAGCATTATAAATCTATATATTTTATTCCTTTATATATGGTGAATATCCTGGTGACCCTTTGCTGATACACTCATGTGCACTGACAAGCTTAAATCCTGAATACCTTGAGTTAGGATGCTCATACCACACCGGCTACTAAAACAACTATCAACCGTGAATAATCCCACATGCTAGATCAATATATTCTACAGATCTATAGGTGGGGATTATACCGCTCAAGCGCATGTATTTGGAGCTAATTAATAGCTCCAAAACAGTGTAAGTGCTTTTCTTTTTATTTATCTCACCAACTATCTGAAAATACTACACCATATTTTGTTTTTGTCCTTTCATTTTGCAAATGGAATTTTCCTGATTGGATTTTGAGGATACTTTTACGGCTTTGCTTCCATCTGTCCCTTTTCCACACCATCGACGACCAGAAAGAAGATACTCTGGTTTGCTTTGTTCAAGCTACATATATGCACTACAAACACGTGCTAGAGACCTTACCTATTTTTTTTTGTCTGTAGGGTCCAAATCAAAAATGATCCCTTTCTATATGGAGAGAGACGTTGAGTTAGGCAAAAGACATGAAGCCATGTAAGTATGGACCTATACGTTGACTCATGTCATTAGGTTTTGGCTTTATAGGATTACTAATATATTAAAGGAACACTCCAAAGTTAGAAAAATATGTTTGTTTTACATAGTTTTTATTTTGAAATGCCATTTGGGATCATACATTCTACTAACTGCAAAAATACTGATTTGGTTGCCTACGCAGAGGCATAGCAAGTCAACATTATGCAACATAAGCCTGTGTTCAGAAACAGAGGCGAGAAAATCGTAATTTAAAGGTGAGACTGTTGTAGTGTAGCGGTATAGTGACTAGAGCAGGTGTCATTGCTAGGTATGTGACTTGTATGGTATATGGTTCCCAAATTAACAGTACATCAAGCAGTTCGATCGAAAACGTCTCATAAAATAAAGCAGCAAAATATTGATCCTTACAGTTAAAAGTAACAGTTGAGATACTGGATGAACATAACAGTAGTGATATTAATGAGACCATATTCGCTAGGGCGTATTAATGCAATCCCCGTATTCCCCTATTAGTTAGGCAGACAAGTAAAAGTATGTGCCATCTGCAGTTGACTTGCTGCTGTAATCATGGAGATATATTGGATCAATACATCTCTATGGAGAGCGTGAAGATGCAAATTATCTTCCTGCAAAGATTGCAGGACTGCTCAAGGCCCTATAGAGGCTGTCTGAGTGACAGCTGTTAAAATTGGTCTTGGGAAGCAATGTAAACACTGCAAAAATGCAGTGTTTGCAATGCTGTGGCTGCAGAGACAAGCTCTTTGCGCCAGAATCTTTAACATTAAGCTGTTGTGGTTCTGATTCTTAAAGTGTCCCTCTAATAAAAATAAATACATAAATTATATATATGTTATGCCAAATAACACATTGTGATATTTTCACATCTGTTTGAATAAGGAAATGATCCAAGACTTCTTGGAGATATCTGGCAATGAGAGCCACAGGGAAGTATGGAGAAACTGTATGTACTATAGCAAAAGGTAGTCTTGTGAATAAAAACATAAAACAGTTACCATCACAATTCTAATTATTGATTAGTGTTAAAAACAGTATACACATACTTATATAAGGAGCTGACAATCCCAACAGGCAATATACTACACAGCTGAAAAAGTAACGTAAAATGAAAAGAAAATGTTTAAAAATAAAGTGAAAAATACAAAATGAGAAAATATGGCATTAGAAACATTTGTCAAGGGAAACACCTAATACAATCTTAGGACTAAAACCGAGTCATTGCCCCCCAGTACTTAATACGATTTCCCTTGACCAGTATTGAGAAAATACTTGAAAAGCAGTCTTTGAAGCTTGTTAGATCCATATGTAAAAGCTGGTACTGACAATGCATGCCGTAGAACATAGAGCACAATGCAAAACACCACATGTAAAAAAATAAATAAAAAAATAAATTTTCTCACTCAGAGATGCACTTTTCACAGTCATGTATGGATGGCCATCTACATGAATACAGTATAAAAGAACAGTGTATCAAATTGCAGTATACGTATGGTAACCTGAATACCACATAGATGCTTACTTAAAGAGTTCATAGTTCTTTCGAAGGCCCTGTAGTGGGTTGCTGACTGTCATTACTACCATGTTTAATGACATTGTTAAAATTGTATGTATCACCTCATCATCAACAAATATCATTGTAAACAGAGAAGACTCTTGTTACCAGATTTAACAAAATTCACTATCATAAGAAATGTGATAAAAATGAGAAGTGAAATTAAATACAGCTGCATGTATGGTAAACATGATTGTTTGGATCAAATACAAATGTTTGATTAATTTGTCTATCTACTCCTTCCAAATTAATAAGTATATGCGTGCACGCTCCCTAGAGTAATTCACACAGGGCACAAGTTGTTCTGTTCAATAAAATCCCCAGGAGTGGTTCATTCCAAGGGGTTGGACCCTTTTTTTTTCTTTTTTTTTTTATTCTTTATTTTTTTGTGCATGGATGGTATAGATAACATTCAGTCTAGCAATGCCACATCAGCTTTTGCCAGATTTTTCAGAGACATAGAATTATAATTGTATGGCATGAGGAACTGTGCACATTTTTTTTAAAGTAAAGATGAGGAACAGTAGCATATTGTAAGTCATGTGTGTGTTGAGTGGTTATGTGGCTTAGCCATTGACTATGCTATGAGAGGTGAAATGTATAATAGAAAACAAAAGATACAACAGAGGTATAACGGTTAACTGACGCGTCCTTATTTTTAGCATATTATGATGTACGATGTAGCAGGGAAGGTTACAGTGCTATGTGATGATGCATTTGAGTAGCTACGCTGTAGAAAGCAGTGTAGGTTATATATCAGTAGTAGCGTGCCTGTAATTTGGCCCAGAAGCATTCGAAGATTACAATAATGGGGTCTCTTGCTTGGTTCCTGGTGTCTGCCATACCAGGATGTTGTCGTTGCTTGTTAGACACTATTGTGTCTGCTTGATCTGCCATCTTGGGTGCACCCGTTTCCCTCTCGCTTGTGGAGGTCTTTTTGCCTGTCGGGGTTCGGGGCAAATCCACCTGGCGAGGACCGTGATATGCCCCACCGGTCCATATGGGGGGGTGCGTGGTTTGCACTCGTGCATTGCGGATGGCGTCTGGCGGGAAGGTGGCCATCCATCCCCCGTGCCTCCACTAGGCCTCAGTTTGCTGCCGCATTTCCCGGTCGGGTCGGGTGTTATGTGTTGTGTCGGCATGACCGTGGCTGCTTTCTCTTGCCCATGGGCTGGTGCGTGAGTGGATAGCAGCATTTGGTCTTGGGTTATCTGCTAAATTTGGGCCTGCACTGCAGGAGCTCATGTAGAATGCGTCTAGTCAGTTACTCGGCTCCGCTCCGCTCCTCGCTGGGACCCTTTTTTAAAGCAGAAATACGTCATGTACAGATTCACAGTTAACATAAAGTATACATTCAACAATTGGTTAAAAGTTAGGAGGTCTTGTCTAAACCCACCATACAGGAACTTATGTCATCATTACCGAGCTCTCCCACCCACATTCCAGCTCCATCTTGGTTACACAATGGGAGGGGGAGTGAGTAGTTACTGAACAAAGAAGGGGGAAGGGTATGAAGTGGAAACAGTTACTTTAACAGCGATCCTCCATTTTGTTACACTTGGCAGAGAGCTGTAAGTTGCACAAAGGAAGTGGGGGAGGGGTTAGTAAAGGAAGCTGTTCCTTTAACACAGGAATCTGTTACACGAGGCTTGCTGGATGGGAAGGGAAGCAGGATGGGGAGGAGTTTACAGAGAAAATAGTTACTGAGCACACAGAGGGGGAAGGGAAGCTTTTTACTGAATAGGAACTCATGTACAGAAAAATAGACATTTTATCCATTCAAGTATTTTGTCCATAACATGATTACACTGGAAATCATAACATAGCAAAACATGATTGATACACAACAAACAGTTGTCTATCAATCATGCAAAATAACTTGGAAAGCAAGTGATGGGGAAAAATATGAGGGACTACCTTTTTGTGAAAAGCAGAATAATGGTAGCGTAAGAGTATACTTTCATTAGACCATAATACCCAAGTTATAGAAAGTTGTATGGCTAATTCTGTACACACAAGAATGCTGTATAGTCCTACAAAAGACAAGATAGTGGATTAACTGTAACAATAACAGCTGCAAAAGAAACAAAATACTCACAAGTACACAAATATGTAAAACAAAATGCTTGATCTAGAAGGACCAGAGGAGGCAGAGCAATTCTCGTCTACAAGTTAAAGCTAGGCTAAAAGGAGAACCATTATTAAGAGTTGCATCTTTGAAAGATTATACCTCATTAAATTCATTAGTTTGTAAAGCTACAAGAACAGATACATTCATGGGAAACAATACACCCTCTTTGAATTCTGTGGTTTTAGATATTTAACAGGTCTTAAAATTAGGTAAATAAAACCTATGATGATCAATAACACATGACGTATTACACCAATAAAGCCAAAATGGAGAAGACATGTGTGAAAGACAGTTCACCATTACTGCTTCCATAGGAATTAAAAGGTTTAGTAGCAGACAGGTGCTGCTAGTAAAAGGCCCTTGAATAATTGATAATCAGCAAGTGTGATCATCACCTCTATAAAAGTCAAAGTTTTAACAGCTTGCTGGTATGAAGCTTTCAGGTGTGTATTAACACAACGTCAATATGGAAAGTCCTCAGCAATGATCTTAGAGAAGTAATTGTTGCCGCCCATCACACTGTGAAGGGTCATAAGGCCATTTCCAAACAATTTATTGTCCATCATTCTACAGTGAGAAAGACTATTCAAAAGTGGAAAACATTTGAGGCAATTGCCAATCTTCCCAGGAGTGGACATCCCAACAAGTTCACCCCAAGGTCAGACTGTGCAAAGCTTAGAGAAATTGCAAAAAAAAAAAAACAAGAGTTACATCTCAGACTCTACAAGCCTCAGTTAGCATGTTAAATATTAAAGTTCATGACCGTACAATTAGAAAAGACTGAACAAGTATGGTTTGTTTAGAAGGATTGCCAGGACAAAGCCTCTTCTCTCTAAAATGAACATGACAGCACAGCTGAACAAACCACGAGACTTCTTGAACAAGGTCCTTTGGACAGACGAGACCAAAGTGGAGATATTTGATCATGATGCACAGCGCCACGTTTGGCGAAAACGAAAACTGCATATCAGCACAAATACCTGTTAAGGATTTTGGCTTGTTTTGCAGCCACAGGACCTTGGAACCTTGCAGTCATTATTGAGTCAGCCATGAACTCCTCTTTATACCAGAATACTTTGTAGTCAAATATGAGGCTGACAGCTAAAGCTTGATTGAGTCATGGAAAAGGACAATGATCCCAAGCACACTAGCAATTTTTCAACAAAATGGCTGAAAAAGAATCAAGGGGTTGCCATAGCCCAGTCAAAGACTAGACCTGATTGAGATGCTGTTGCAGGACATTAAGAGAGCTGTGCAAAAACAAATGCTAGCAAACCTCAATGAACTGAAGCAACGTTGTAAAGAAGAGTGGGCCAAAATACCCCCACAACAATGTCAGAGACTGATAGTCATACAAAAAATGTTTACTTCAAGTTATTACTGCTAAAAGTATTGAATCATACGGTGTACTTAGTTTTTCACACATGGCTTCTCCATTTTGGCTTTATTTTTGTTAAATAAATCATGAAACAGTGTAATATGTCCTGTGTTATTGTTTATCCGAGGTTGTATTTATTTAATTTTAAGACCTTTTAATGAACAGATGATTATGTCCTAATATGTAAAACCACAGAATTCAATGAGAGTACTTTTTTCCACCATGACTGTATATTGGTCTCTTTATGCTTGAGCTACAGCTCAACTTTTCAGTAGTCAGCTGGATATCACCTGTGTGTTCACTTATCCTCTCTAATAATATGTTCTTGCCATATGAATTGTGCCACGTGGGTATTTCAGTGGGCACACCACATAAGCCAAGTTCCCAGTGTAATAGTTAGAAAACAACACCAGCTCCCAGGCAAAAGCAAGATGCCAAATTTTGTTCACTGCCCATAAAGATCCAAGGCATTCATAGTTGAACGTAATAAAGACATAATATTTCCTATACCAAGATACATATCTTTCCCTACACTAATAAACAAGCTTATATATATACAGTTGCAAGAAAAAGTATGTGAACCCTTTGGAATAATATGGATTTCTGCACAAATTGGTCATAAAATGTGATCTGATCATCATCTAAGTCACAACAATAGAGAATCACAGTCTGCTTAAACTAATAACACACAAAGAATGAAATGTTGCCATGTTTTTATTGAACACACCATGTAAACATTCACAGTGCAGGTGGAAAAAGTATGTGAACCCTTGGATTTAATAACTGGTTGAACCTCCTTTGGCAGCAATAACTTCAACCAAACGTTTCCTGTAGTTGCAGATCAGACGTGCACAACGGTCAGGAGTAATTCTTGACCATTCCTCTTTACAGAACTGTTTCAGTTCAGCAATATTCTTGGGATGTCTGGTGAATCGCTTTCTTGAGGTCATGCCACAGCATCTCAATCGGGTTGAGGGCAGGACTCTGACTGGGCCACTTCAGAAGGCGTATTATCTTCTGTTTAAGCCACTCTGTTGTTGATTTACTTCTATGCTTTGGGTCATTGTCCTGTTGCAGAACCCATCTTCTGTTGAGCTTCAGCTGGTAGACAGGTAGTGTTGTGTGTTTCTTCCAAACAACTCAACTTTTGTGCGAGGCATCATTCACATCAGGCAATGCTTCTTGTGAAAAGCAAACCCAGAACTGGTGTGTGTTTTTTATAGGGCAGGGCAGCTGTAACCAACACCTCCAATCTCATCTCATTGATTGGACTCCAGTTGGCTGACATCTCACTCCAATTAGCTCTTGGAGATGTCATTAGTCTAGGGGTTCACATACTTTTTCCACCTGCACTGTGAATGTTTACATGGTGTGTTCAATAAAAACATGGCAACATTTCATTCTTTGTGTGTTATTAGTTTAAGTAGACTGTGATTCTCTATTGTTGTGACTTAGATGATGATCAGATCACATTTTATGACCAATTTGTGCAGAAATCCATATCATTCCAAAGGGTTCACATACTTTTTCTTGCAAGTGTGTATATAAATATAAATATATATAAATAACTAGTGCATGCACAGCATTAGTGTTATATTAATTATTACAAAAACAAGATTAGCCACAATCCTTAAAAGTCATGTATAAATACATGAAAGATTCCTTCAAAGAAGAATATACCTAAAAAAAAGTAAAGTAAAAAATTATTTACTATAAAAGGAGTTTGAGATACAAGTGTTGGAGAGCGGGAACCTTTTAACCCCTTAAGGACACATGACATGTGTGACATGTCATGATTCCCTTTTATTCCAGAAGTTTGGTCCTTAAGGGGTTAAACGTCTTATATTCTAAAATGAGGAAAACAAAATAACATTACACATATAAATAAAACAATAAAAAATGGCACAGTTCAACATCTACGTTCAACCCCCTGGGATACATAGTATCCAGCTTATAAATCCACTCAATTGCCTGTGCACCAAATTTGTTATTAAATAATCTCCTTTCTGAACATTTTAAATCCCTAAAAAACAAGCTCACAGGAATTATTTAAAATAAAACAAAAACGGAGCTGAACACACTGGTATTTAAAACCCCTTTTTTATATTTCTCACATGTTCTTCCACTTTGACATGTTGAGAATATGTTGCCCTACCTACTTAACAGAATCCAAAGCACAGGATAGCTAATATGTCACATTTCTACTGTTTCACACTATGAGCTGTCCAATACTGTAAACCTTCTAATCCTTTTTGTAAATTTAAAAAAATGTTCCTTGGTCACAGAGTTATACAATTCTTTGGATGCTTGGTGTTAACTGTAGTCTCACTATTACAAGAAAAATAAAATGACAGGAAAATAAAAATAAATAAATAAAGATTTGGAGATTTCTCTGTGCAAGGCTTTTGTATGAAATACTCTGGAAAATATAACCCTCATCATGTAATTTTATACTTAGAATGGCTGAAAAACATCAACTTTTAGAGAAAATTATGCTCTATCAAAAACAAGAAGCAGATGAAAGAAAAGCATACCGCCTAGGAACGAAAGAAGCACATATTAGAAACCAGTCTATCTTACAAGTAAGTTTTTTAAGTTTATTGCTACTCTTTCAGATCTTGATTTTGAAAACATATCAGTCCCTTAAGGACTGAGGCAGTTGTGCAAGTTGTGATCAAAACAAAACGTAAACAAAAACTTGAATTTGTGCTATATGTCTATTCAGGCAATACATTTTACTGTTTTGAAACACTAATATTTGTGTTCCGAGTAAAACAGTACCCCCCCATATACAGGTTTTATCGTGTCTTGGAAAGTTACAGGGCTAAATATAGTGCTAGCAAATTAAATTCCCTGGACTTTGGCCTGGGTTGTCAGGCAGGTCCCGCAAATTGTAATTAATAAAATGACCTAATTGTGTAAAATTATTACATAAATATATACGTAGAATTAATATATCTATATATATATATATATATATATGTATATGTATGTATTTGTGTGTATATATATATATATATATATATATATATATGTGTGTGTGTATATATATATATATTTTTTTTTTACAATTATATATATATATTTTAAAAAAAATATAGTGATATATACTTATGTATATATATATTATTTCGTTCCACATGTATTTTGATATCAAAATATATATATATATGTATATATATATATATATTCATTTTAAAATACAGTAAGAACGAATTTACAAAATATATATATATATATATATATATATATATATTTTTTTTTTTTAACATATTTATTTTATATTATATATAAATATATATAATGAAAATTATATATATATATATTTAATCAATATGATTGTACATGTATTTTGATATTAATATATATTTATAATTATATATATTAAAATACACTTAGTATATATATATCTAAGTATATATTTTATTTTAAACTGTATCTTGAACTTTTATTTTACCTTTTTCAGACAGCAGGGGCAGCAAGTCATTACAGGCACTCCCCCTGCTGGCATTGCTATGGACGGCTATGCCGTCCATGTGATTGTGAGGTCCTCGCAAGGACCTCGCGATCACATGGCCCAGGGGTGCCGAAGAGGAAGGAGGGGGACTCCCTGGGCTCCCAGATGAGTCTCCACACCGCGATCGCCGGCGTGGGATCGCCAACGACCGGGTAAGTAGAAAGGACGGTTTGGGCATTCTATGCCGCCCGCCGGCATTTAGAGCCGGGTCCCCAAGGACGGCATAGAACGCTCACCGTCTTTAAGGGGTTAAAGAGATGTTATATGAAAGCATTTTGAATCCACTGTAACTATTTTTGTTTGATAGCATATATACAGTATATACAGGTAGGTAGATACTAAAAAGAATGTGGTGAGGCAATTTCCCACAGTGCAAGTATAAAAAAAAAATTGTTATGCATCACCTGCATATCTTAAGGTAGACTTTGATTCTGGGCATAGAAACTCATTAAATCATGTTTCCACGACTATTCCAGAGTTTCCAACTTGACATGCAAATGAGCACAGACAGGCATCATATTTCAGACTTCAAACTGCAGCGCTGCACAAATCCCAGGCGCCAGGTCGCCTTCGTGCCTAGGAATTATGTCTTGGCGCTAGGAATATGTGAGCCTGTTGCCTCAGAGGTTGGCAGGATGCCGGCTGGGGAATTGTGGAGGTGGGTGGCAAGATATGGAGATTATGGAAGCGGGCGGCATGCTGGAAGGTCGTGGAGGTGGGCGGCTAGCTGCGCGAATGGTAGATGGGCAGTGAGGGAGCTGTGATGTCCCTGCTCTGCTCCCTCGCACGCCATTTAGTGATTCCGGAGCCGACATATGCAGTCATATTCCGTCTTGTCTATGGTAAATTGATAAAAGACCAAAGCATCCACGCGTTTCGTCTCAGCAAGAGACTTATCCATTTACCATAGACAACAAGTATTGTTTATTTAAAGGACCGTTATAGGCACCCAGACCACTTCAGCTCAATTAAATGGTTTGGGTGCCAGGTTCCCCTAGTTTTAACCCTGCAAGGTTAAGCCAGCCTCTAATGGCTGTCTCCCTGACAGCCACTAAAGGCCGCTTCCACAATTTACACGGAGTAAATTGCACTTATTTGATGCTGGACGTCCTCATTGCAATCAGAATTTATTTTATGTTCATTTATGGTACTTATATAGTGTTTTTTATTATTAAGAGTTATATTTTCGCAATTACTGTTGTCTGTTTGTATATACATTAAATATTATTATATTATATATTATTGGTTCATATTTTATCGATAGGAGCGCACACACTAATACTTTTTGAGTATTAATCTTCTTTCAAGTCGCTCTCTTAGGTGTGTAGCTGCCCACCTTGATTTGGTATTAGGTCATCCCCTATTTTAGTTTTGTATTTCGTACTGAATTTCTGCAGATAACCTTTGTCATGAACGCACCCTACTCCAAGAGTGTGCGTGACGTAGTTGTGGTGGTGAAAGGGTTAAGGTTCACTATTTGTCTGCACTAGACCGGAAATAATGATAAAATCCCCCTTAACACCACCCACACTTAATTATAATAATATAAATATTACTATTTTAACGCTGCCACCACTAAGACAATTTATAAATGGGGTGCCTTGGCTCCCCAGGTAACTGAATACTAAAAACCCATCATATACAACTTGGCACAATATTTAAGCAATAGCAAAACACTAATTAGTCTCTTCGGGTAACATGATTTTTTACCATACAAAGGCAGAGCTTAATAAAGGAATATTTATTATGAGCAAAAATAGTCACAGTGCATACAAAAATATAGATAACAATCAAATTAGTTACACCAACAACACATAAAAACAAAAGGGATAAAATGACAGATATCCTAATCGCTTACTCAGGTTTTCAAAGTAAAACTTCTTCCCAGGGGGTCTCTGGCAAGGAAGATGGTGACTCACAATAAGATTTTGGCCCCAAGCAAATACAATACACATTTTAGTACCATTAGATATATACCCTGTGTTTTACCAAGCCCGGCCCAGAGGTGGAGATAAGGCATGCCTATAGAGACAATAAGTGATCACCCCTTGGTTTTATTTCCTCTTGTGTACTTGCCATAGAAATAATAATCGCATCTATGAATTTGTTACCATTTTTCCATTCCATAGATAAGTCACACTTCTTACTTGTGACCCAATATAGTGGACATCACAATCCCTTCCCATATGGTTAAGCTACACCAATCATGTTTAGGCTTGATTAGAAGATTGTGCTTGTCCCATTCTAAATATAATAAAAATGAGTCTTAATTATTAATCTGTGAGTAAGTATTCATATTTCTTTTGGATATGATACTGGAACACAAGGTTTTTTTTTTTCCTTAAAAGCTAATGACCATTCATATCAAATGACTCTCTATCTAAGAGGGAATCTAGACATATGGCAAATTAGAGAGTTAGTTTATATTTAAACCAGACTTCCAGGCCACTTATGTGTGACTTCTCACACCTTACAGAGTAGGTCTGTTGGGGTCCCAGCTTCAAAGAGGAATTAAGGTTGTAAGCTCTGACCTCAAATTTACCCCTTTTGGAATTGACAATACAACGCAGCCAGTTCATCTATGCACTACACAAATGACATTAAATGACAATATTCAATAGTGCAACAATGAATTATGAACCCGTGCCATGACAACCTTAGCAACAGACTGTTTTTAAAACAGATTTGTTTTTTTTAAAGTCTGTGTATACAATAAAGCAGATTTTATCACATTAAGAAGATCTCAGAGTGAGAGTATGTATATCTCCTCTCCGGCATTGGTTGTGGAGGCAATCAGGGGTGCCCGGCACATGCCAGTTTGATTTCTTATAAAGAGGAGGCACCAGGGCACTCATGGCACCACACCCACTACAGTATGCTGTAGTGGTGATGGTGCTTGGAGTGTTTCTTTAGTCTATGCATTGCATCTAAAGTGTGTGTCTGGAATACCTTTTTAGTATCATTGAAGACTCATTATATTCATCTCTTGTGCATGTAAAACATTTCCAATGTTCCTCTAGTAATTTTATGCAGAAAAGCACTAAATTTAATAGAACATATTTGCAGTGGAGATAAATTGGTTTTATTCATATATTTATTGGTACTCTAGTGGTAACCTTAACCTTTGTCTTATTTTCTTTATCCCCAGGATTTGCAAATAGCTGAAGACAGGTTTAAGCAAATGGAGAGATCAAGTCCCTACCCAACAGTTATTCATTTGGAGGTTAGTGTGAAATGGCATTTATTAGCACGTCAGGGACCTATGTCATGATCCTTAGTATCAGGTATGTTGGTGCAAATCTATTGTGTTGATTGCTAAATCTAACGAGATTGCAAAAAACTCCAAAATACATCTTTCAACGTTTGGGTTTTAGGCATGTACAGTATTAAGTATTTTTAAGGCTTAAATTATTACCCTTTTTCTGAAGCTGGGCTTTATTTACTAGGTTCCCCCTTATAAACCTAAAAATAAAGAATTAGACTTACCTGGTATCCAGCATCGGGCAAAGGTTCCAGCGCTGCCTTCCACGCTTCAGTCTGACGTCAGCGGTGCCCAATCGTGGTCCTGTAATGAAAAATCTCAATACTTCTGTCTTCAGCACCCTGAGATAACATTTGCACAGAATTGACATTAGTATCACATTAAGTCATGTGTGCTGGGTGTGCATTTACAGGCTCCTACCACCATTACCACGTCTCAAAGAAGAAATATATATAACAAACCTAAAATCAGCTGAATTTCAAACCACGAATGTTCAGTTTATGTGCAGGTGTGTAAACTAATGGCATCCTGTTGTGCACTGAAATTTTTCTAGAGCAATTTAAGTAAAACTGTGCATATACCGTGGATTTTACAAAGGATATTGACTACTCTAAATGTAATTTTTTTAAAACTTTTTTTTATATATAACCTGACCTTTACTTGCATAATCAGTATCTTTATATAGTAATAAAGAGTGAAAAAGATACTTACCCTTTTCACTTAGATTTCTGAATGGGGTTCTAGTGATAGGTAGAGAGTGCCTCCCCATCTGAAATTTCCTGATTAAATCCTTGCACCAACAAAGGAAGTAGACTTATTGGGTGCCATCTTTAAAAGTTTGGGGCTAAACCATTTGTTAGCAGTTTCACCTCTTAAGGAGAGACAGCGCCTGGTTCTTCCTCACATCATACCAACTTAATTGGGATGAAGTTATTATGGTGTGTTCACCCTTTAAGATGAATCTTTACCATTGTATGCAGTTTTCACTCCCAGATCTCCATTATATTTCTTAGGAGCACTACTGGGAGTTCGTGGAGGAGGAACTTCCCAAGTGGGAACAATTTCTTTTAGGAAAAACGACATCTCCTTTTGGCATGAAGAAAAAGCAGCAATCAAGACAAAAATTTATAAATTCACAAACTATGCATTTACCAAAGGAAGTAAAAGTGTCCACATTGGGATCGAAATCAAAAACATTTCCAGTGTAACATCCAAGTAAAAGAAACGTAAAAATAATATTTTTTAAATTTTTGAAAGAACTATTAACTTTGTAAAACAAAAAACAAAAATTAAACCAACATCTGAAAAATCTATGTATAAATAACAGGAAGTTAAATTTGAATGTAAACATAATTTGCACTTCTTATTTCAAGAATAATAGATGAGTTACTAGTCATAAGATCATCACAACTTGCAATTAAAAAGATTTGTTACATAAATTTTGTTACAATAAAAGGAACACTCAGTATGGTCAGGAACACAAACATATTGCTGACCCTAGAGTGTTAAAAATGCATTTTAGCCCCCCTGGCTTCCCCTGGCCCCTTTGAAGCTAGAAAAAATTACCTTATTTCCAGTGCTGCCCATGGCCCACCTCCTTGGCTGACATCATCAGAATTGATTATCTCAGCCAATTACAATACTTTCCCATAGGAAAACATTGAATTGGTTGCAATTGTCAATTCTGATGATCTCAGCCAAGGAGGTGGGCTGGAGCCGAACGCCCCCCTGGTCAATCAACATCTTCTTATATAGATGCATTGAATCAATGCATCTCTATGGGGAAAGTTCAGCACTGACCGGGAAGCACCTCCTGTAGCTGTTTGAGGAGTGGCTACTACTAGAGATGTTCCAAGACTGTAATGTAAACACTGCCGTTTCTTTGAGAAGGCAGTGTTTACATGAAAATGCTTGCAAAGACTGACTATACTCACCCGGACAACTACATTAAGCTGTAGTTGTTCTGGTGACTATAGTGTCACTTTAACGGTGCACATCCAGTAGTAAGTAAAAGCATCCATTGTTAAAGCTTAAAAGCGGATGTGTCATTTTTATTAAAGGAACATAGAAACATAGAATGTGATGGCAGATAAGAACCATTCGGCCCATCTAGTCTGCCCAATTTTCTAAATACTTTCATTAGTCCCTAGCCTTATCTTATAGTTAGGATAGCCTTATGCCTATCCCACGCATGCTTACAGGAACAATACAGTGTCATGAATACAATCAGCATCTCTTGAATCAATGCATTTCTGTGGAGAGCATTCAGAACGTGGAGGTGCTGAAGATAGTTGCTGCACACTTTGCAGCAGTGACATTGGAATACTTCTAGTGTCCGTCTGAGTGACGGCCACTAGAGTTTTACTAGGAAGCAATGTAAACACTGCCTTTTTTTTGAGGTGCTAAGACGGACATGCAGTAGACACCATTAAGCTGTAGTGATTTTGGTGTCTATAGTGTCCCTTTAACTCTTATGCATTTAGTGCAGATGATCTTATAATTACATTACTTTATGTTCTATATACAGTCAGAAGATGGACCATGACAATATTTGCAATCTGTGTTTAGAAATATGACTAGGAAGGGAGAGTTTAAGCTGTAGTGGTTCTGATGACTATAGTGTCACTTTAACCACAGTAAGTATGTTTTGTTGATTGATTCCACTTTGATTTCAAACATCACTCAGTCCAGATCATGAAGAAATGGGACTTAGAGGGTTACTAAAACCCTTCAAAATCTGCAATGTTTATATTGCAGTACTAAGACTGCCTCTAGTGGCTGTCTACCAAGAAATGCGGGATCCAGCTCTGCATGCGTCAGTGAAATCCTCATAGGAAAGCATTGATTTGAACGCCGACACAGCTCCGAATCAATGCTTTCACTTCACTATGTGTGAAACCCAAAGTCTCTGCTTGCCTGTCATTTAGCCTTTTTATATCCTAGGGCATACTTGGTACACACTTGCAAGGGAAACAAATTTTATATATATATATATATATATATATATTTATTAGTATGAGATAGCACTTAAAGATGAGACCAGACTTAGGAGTAGAATCAGAGCAAGATTAATAATAGGCTCCCTTGGCCCCATGGGTTAGGCAGGGGACTGGAACCATGAATATGCTTGGACTAATCAACCATGCCTATGTGAAGAATGAAGAGATGAGGCCTGCCTGGGGACCTGTGGATTTTTAATCCTTCGCCGAGTAGAATCTAAAGCAAAGCAGTGATCATATTAATATTATTATTATTATTTGCAAAGTGCCAACATTTTTTGTAGTGCAGTATGCTCACATTATATAGAGACATACGATAATACCTCTCTTACCATAGTTTGTTTGTATCAAAATACAAACAAATAAATATAGATCAACTTACAGAGTAATATGAAACAACATATGAGCAAAAATACATGTCACCAAATACAGAATTCAGAAATACATGTCACTAAACTTCTGCTAGACAGCATTACCTTTAATGTTTGAAAGAGCAGCACAATATTCCAACTATTTTCAAAACACCTTTTTCAAGGGTTAAAGCTTCAGAGGAAAAAAGCCAATAAACCACACTCAAGAAATGCCAAAAGGGGCGGAAAAAAGTCACATGGACATGACATGTGCATGATCTTCAATGTAAGGTGAAAGGGAGGAGTAACTGGCATAAATGTTAAATGGGATAAGTAGACAGAATTAGAGTCTGAGATTGCAGTAGGATAGTGGCTTTTAGTGTACATGAGCGGTCAGGGACTTGCAGCCCTGCATGTCAGAGAGAAATCTCTGTCAAATCACTTGTGTAGCAAAAGAGTGAAAAACAAAGGTGGATAGTGAATAATAAAACACTGATAGGGAAAACTCCTGACCACGAGGGGTACTAAAATAATTAATATAGAAACTAGAAATAACACAATAAAAGGCTAGGGCATCCATACTAAGACAAAAAAGGAAAACAAAAATAATAAATGATAAATCAATTAAATCCCCGCAATGAGAATATTCTCATGACAGCTAGTGGTATTGAACAATAGCTAGAGCCAAAACCTACAAAAACATAATAGATAAATAAACAATATACTCCTAACTATTATATAATGCAATGAATGGAAAATGCATAACTATTGTATGATTATAGAGGCACAGACACTGCACAAGTATATCAGCTGTAATCACTAAACAAGATCTATATGGTATAAACACACATTGTAATGACATGTCAATCGGTCCATAGTGTAATAATGAAAAGGTATCCACTATTTGCTATATGCATAAAATCATACAACCAGTACAGACATCACAACCCACTGGGAAAGAGTAAATATATTATATTATAGGTATTATAGCTGGAAGATCAACATCAGTCAGTTAATGGTATGTGGATCATCCCAAAAGAGAATACTTGCCAACAACCAATCATTATTAGCTCAGTAGGCAGTTAGTACAACATTCATGGGTTCAGTAGAGGAGTGAATGGTCACTCATGAAAAACAAATAAGAGTAGGATTAAATCGAATGAAGCTTGAGATTGACTGTCGGAGGCGATTGCATGATGATGTATAAAGCACACGGACACACGCATCATGTGGCAGGGAGGCAGAGACTTGGTGGAGAGGAGATGGAAAGTGGCTAAAGCGCACCCGGTAGTGAATGGCAAAAGCAGCCAAACAGACCTGTGAGAGAGTGGGAAGATGAAGGGGACGGTACATTTGTTTGGAGGTGGAAGACAGAGTGTGGAGAGACGTGAAGTCTCTTGGTGTACGCCTGGGTCTGTCAGGAAATGTTTGGAGCTGGGAAGGACGGCTGGCAGTTTGGTGCCCACGTGGAAGGATACTAAGGAGATCTTGCTAAGACATTGGGAAAAAAAACATAAATAACACAGATAAGTCATTAACAGTTCTGCTTAATGCTTAAAAAAAAGTATATAAAAACATTAAAAAAGGGAGAAAAAAGGCTAAGAAGAAAGAGAGAAAGGAAAGCAAAGATAAAAATTAGGAGTCACAGAGGAGAAATTACAAATGATCAATTTTCAAAAAAACCAAGCACCCTTAAAAATGTCTTCTGACAGAATAAAAAGAAAGGAGAATTAAGTTTTCTGGAAGATTAACTCAACTTCTATATTTCATCCTAGTTATCTTTTTAATAAGCATTTCTCTCTTATTACTGTCTGTAAGAAGAAAAAAAAGAAGATATAAATAATAGAGTGGGGAGGAGAGGGAGCACAGGAGAGGAAATTAATAACAAGGCAAGACTGTAAGGTGGAAAGAGAAAAAAGAAGGAAAAATTATGCCATATTTATGTGGCTAAGGTGAAGAAAATAAGAGATCAGTCATTGAGATCTGACATAAAAAAGTTTTTCTTTTAAAAGAGAAGAGTGTTTTATATTTTTACCTTTCTCTTTCCCTCTCCCTCTCCTCCCTCTGGAAGTTTAAGGAAAAAGAAAAACTTACCTAACCAGAATTTAAAATGGCAACAAAACTGACAAAAAAAATTCCCACAAGGAAAGTAAAAAAAAAGAAGGAACAAAAACGCATAAAAAACCTTGAAAATTCTTTTCTCCAATAAATAAGCCAATCAAGGAAATAAAACAAGATAACCTGTCATTCTCCCGGAAGATTCAATTCAAAGTTCCCCAAATCAAAATGATAATTACATTACAGCTGAATTTTTCAAGAATTGTCTTGACTTACTACTTGATGCAGTAACAAACCAATTCAACAAGAACACAGCAGAAATTATGAAACAGCTCAATGAACTGTCAGAAAGATTACAAATGAATTAAGGAAAAATTCTCAATTTCGAACATCAAGAATCTATACTTAAAGACAAAACACACTATTGAGAAGCATGGAAGCCAAGATTGGCGATATAGCAGACTGCTCAATATGTGATCATTTGAGACAATGAAATGTGTCTGAGTCTATCACACAGGATACATTTCCAAAATATCTAGACAAGCTATGGAAAGCACTGAAAATATAAGTTCCCAATTTTTCCAACAACATTGAAAGATATCATTGTTTATTCAAGCCCAAAGATGGAAATAACCAAGAGACATCATCATAAATTGCCAGTCATTCCAATTTAAAGAAGCAATCATACGAGCGGGCTGCATGATAGAGCAACATTGAAGATTTTAAAGATATAGTTATAATCCAAGACCTCTAATTCTAAACAAGGTCCCAAATGTTTTCTCCTGTAATTAATATTCTGTGAAATCAAAATAAAAAGTATTATTGGGTCCAATCAAACTATCTGCGATAACAGTTGGACAAACAGAGGTTTATGATTCAGTTAAAAAAGCCAACGATTGGCTAAAAAGAACAAAGCTGGAAATAATAATTAAAGAAGAAAGAGATGTATATATATATATATTTTTTTGGGGACATTACTTGAAAAGTTTTCAGCATTGATTTTTTTTTCTTTCTTTCCTTTATTTAGATGGTATAGAAAATTGCTCAAATGAATAACAAAATCTACATAAAGAATGTTTATGGGTAAAATCAATTCAAATTTAATTTATCTAAGGCACAAATAGGAGCACTGAATAATATCTTGACAAAAGTGGAAGAAGAATATATATTTCACTTTAAGTTACAATACACAGTGTTAGACCGCTAAAGGTTCAAATATTTTTTTAGAAATAAATGTATTAATCTAGGTATCACTTGAAAGACCTAGGTACATAACTGAATATACACGGTATAAAATATACTATAACAAGAATTTCTTTGGTGCCTTTTCTTCCCCACAATACACAATAAATAAGACGTAATCATATCACATCAAGAGTATACAAACAGTTTACAAATATGATTTAAGAATAATGCTAATAGCCAGAAACCACCTATAGCACTTAAAACACGAACAAAAAGATCGAGAAAATTAAATTTATGTTAAAGGAAAATATGTCAAGTAAAGAAATCTAACAAAAGACAAAAACTTTAAATATGTATCAGTCTTATAGAAGTAATGTATTTTAATTCATGTAGCGATCTTTCAAGCTTTTGGTTCATTCTGGGCATGATAGAGAATAGAGAGTAGAGGAAGATACAGGGAATATTTTTTAGAAAGGTCCCAATCAAAGAAATATAACAATTTATGTATTCATAATTCTTTCTCTCTCCTAATCCTTCTATTATGAGCAAATACCATAGGTTTCCAAAGATATCTTTATTAAGGGCCCAAGTGGAAAGTAGGTAGTTTAGGCAGCACTAAATCAAATGATAAAGAGAAGAATAGAGAAAAAGATTGTATCAGTAGTGTCTTCTTTCCTCCTGATTCTATCCCTCCACCTAATATCCTGTATGGATCTTAGTGTGTACAAAGCTACATACATACACAAGATGGTTAGAGTGAAGACTATTTTAGAGTCTTCAGTATGAATGATACAGTTATGTCAAAAGTCTGTGTAATATCTATTTGGTTTGTATATGTCATTTTCAGTGTTGTATTAGTCTTTAAAGCGGCACTGTCATGCCGAATCCCGTTTTTTTTTTTAACCCACCTCCCGCCTCCACTACATCCAATTGACCCACTAGTCACCCCCAAATGCCCCTAAGCCCCCCACATTACCTATTTTTTAATCCTTATTTTCTGCCCCGATCTTTATCCAAGGCGCAGCCATCTTTGTGTGGGTAGATGAAGTCCCTGTGGGACACGTCATCAGCCCACACTAGATAAACTGTTAGATTCCCGCACATGCCCAGTGAAACACCTGGACATGCGAACGGGAATTTAATCTATTCATTCATTCATCAGACAGACGAATGAATGAATAGAAAGATCAGCCGAACAAACTAACACTATGTATCAGTTTTAGTTTGTTTGTTAAGTTTATTACAAGGAGGGAGCTACCGGCACGCAGCTCCCTCCTTGTAATATGTAATTATAGAAGCGGCAGGGAGCAGTGCTCCCCACCACTTCATAAGCCCCCCCAGGTCCACCTCTCACTCTATGGGGGTCAATATGACCCCCATAATAGCACAAGGGAGATTAAAATCTCCCAAATGCCCCTACTCGCTATACCGCGAGTAGGTGCATGTCTACTAAACAGTGAGCAGCCTATGGCATAAATTACATAAATTACAATAAGGGGGGCGGACCTATTGTCCTCCCCCCCTCCCCCACCCTGAGCGGCAGGTGGGGGCTGTGACGAAGTGCCCTTCGCCACTTGGTCCTGGAGAGGCCTTCTTGCCAGTCTCCTCCCCTGTGACTATGACTCTTTCATCTATCTGGCTTTAAAGCCCCTAGTCTACCTTCAGACAGACTATTTATGTGGGCTGCTTTATTTATCCTATGTTTTAGTCACCCTGTACCCATTATAGGTGCAGGGTGTGTGTAATGTAATTGTTTATGTGTGTGTGTGTGTACTGTGTAATGTATTGCCTGCTCTCTTGTATTGCTGAGGTTTGCTACCAACTAGGTGGGTTTGGCTATGGAGCTGGTCTAGTGCCCTCTGTTGGTAGCAACAGCAATATGCACTACCTGAATTGCAAGACTGGTTCATTTGCATATTCGGGTAGATTTGCATATTGCTAATTCTGCAGGCAGGTGAGATATTTACTGTTAAATATTGTCTTCCCCACCCCTTTAAAAATGTGCCATTGTGTTGTGATAAGTCACTGTGTGTTTCTTGATATGGTTTGACTGTTTGTGATTTTATTGAGGTTTCACAACAATGTTATTGTGGTGACTGTATTGGCTGGTCCCAAGGGAATAAAGGTTTTGACAGTTCTTCTTGATCCCTCTAAACGTAGCCTTGTCTCGTTATTGGAGGGAGATGTTATAATCACACTGGGGATTGCTATGCTCTGCATGCTCCCCTGAGCTTGAGTCACTTAGCTCTTTTAAGAGCTTGTTCCTGACACGCTCTCCTTGGAGGAGGGGTCTTCACCACACAGTCCTGGATGCTGGAGGTTCATGCAGGCCCCCCCTAATAAAACAATAAGGGGGGGAGGACCTACCTACTAAAAAAAATACAGTCCCCTCCACTGGAGTCTTATGTAAACTGACACCTACCACCTAAGGAATTCAGTCTCCTCAACTGAAATCTAGTGTAAGCGGTTCCAACCATTGGCTGCGTACTGCCTTAGTTTAATATCTCTGGCTTCCCTGACTTCCTCCCTTCACTTCAACTATTTGATGCCTGTCTTCAGATGATTCCATGGTTATATCCAACTGATGCCTGTCCCAGGCAGACATTCCAAGACACTATATGGTGACATGTACTGCTGCATCATTGGGTGCCTTCCACCATAATTCTTGGCCTCTGATTTGCCCACTCCAGGGCCAAAGCTCCTAGTCAGCAGCATAAAGAGAAGCGCAAGCATAGTGTAATGAAGTGGAATATAATACAATGTAGGTATGCATTTTTTATTTTATATGGCAATTTTATTTTAATATATTTTTTTAACATAATATAATGATAATTATTGATTCGTTGTATGTTTGTGTGAGAGTCTGTGTGGGTTTATAAATGTGTGTTTGAGTATATAAGTATGTATATGTGTATATTAGTCTTGTGTGTTTATATGAATGTGTTTTTGTATATGACTCTGCGTGTGTGTGTTTATGTATGAGTCTGTGTATGGGTTTGTGCATATGAGTCTGTGTCTATGAAAGTGTTTGTGTATATCAATGTGTGTGTGTGTGTGTGTGTGTGTGTATGAGTCTGTGCATGCGTTTATCTGTGCACATGGGTCTGTATGTATATGAATGTGTTTACATA